AAATACATATAAATAGTATATGTATATATATATCTATATATATGTTTATATATGTATATATATATATATGTATATGTATATGTACTTTTATGTATGAACATATGTATGTATGTATGTAAATACGTACAAATTATACAAATATATATGTTTATAAATTTGATCTATTTTTTTTAATTTATACATTTAGCCATTTATGTGTATGAGTTATATTCGTCCAAATATATAACTGTATCGAAATCAATATATAAGATATGTTTTTATTTTGTTTTGTTTATATGCAATTATATATGTTTTTGTGTATCTTCAGTTTAGCATCAACATATATTCTAGCACCTGCATTCATAGTTGTTTCTGCGCATGCTTTTTATACTCTCTTCTAACGTATCGATGTGTCCAAGCAGAAAGATTTAGCTGAATTTTTATTCTATGTCATGAAATTATAAGGTGGTGGATACCAACAATGTGGTTTGTAGTGTACTCATTAATACCGTAGTAAAAGAAGCCATCTACCATAAGTATGGCATACGAGTTCTCGAGAATGACGTGCATAGCTGGACCGGGTGTTGTACCTGTACACAGTACGAAATTACGAACAGAGATATCCTTTCGGACGATGTAGTTGCAACACACAACCGGTTACCGTTGATTTTAGATGTGCTGAGGTACATTTTACTATGAACCTGTAAAAATAGCTTTCGCGCCGATGTGTGCCTTACAACCCCCCCCCCCGAACCTTTTATACACACTCGAGAGCGACGGTAGAAGTCTGCACACATCCGAGTTCGATCTATAGATTTGCTGAAAGGAGACGTTATGGAGCTTTTGTATCGCATTGGTTGTACAAGTGCGCAAGCGATAAGGGCGTTTGGGATCTTTTTAAGTCTGTGCTATTGACGTCCTCGGGGCAGACGTATCGGGAAATCAATTCCTGGCGATTTCAAGACTCTGTTACAACACATGGGCGACCCAGATGTCGGCCTGAGGTGGACAAAGGAAGACAGAGAACGACATGTTGCGGGTGTCGGGATTGGGTAAGCGTTACGCCCTGGCTTGTTCGCATCGATTCAACTAAAACGGCATAATCAATCAACCAGAGGTAAACGTATAGATCAAAAACGCATTGCAATTCGTATGTATACCGGGTATATGAACTAGAGGCACGTCTGTATCTATTGCGGACGACGAGATGTTGTCTGTTATTTCGTTTTTTGTTTTTAACACTACTACAACATGCTGAATGGGTCAAGCACTCAGCAAGGACTCTGCTGAATCAGTCGAGGCTTATCATTAAACGCATTCTTTCTTTGCGGTTCTTGACAACCCACAATTAGAATCTACTCATGCACAACCACTTATCTTGTCATTTTATTGGGAGTGACGACGATATATGAAGGCTCTTATCCGGCTCGATCAGGTGGGTAGCCTTCCGAATTAATACATCGATCAATCGTTCATCGCCAAGCATCTCCCTGTGCTCCATCTTCTCGAATTCAATATTCTCAACTTCGATGTCGTATGCGTCTGCGAACACAAGGCAGTGGATAGTAAAAGTAAATACCAGTGCAAACTACGCCAGGATCACTTCCTGAGTAATATATATATATATATTTATATATAGGTATCAGACTCAAATGAAATCAGTCGTGTATGGATACGAGCACACGCCTGATCGGCCCATCGATGTGTGGACTCTGACCATTCGCGACTGCAAGTACTTACTTAGCATACTGACTCTCACCCACCAGACAATCATGCATACATAAAAGGTGCATGCAAAGCATATGCCGATCGCGCACAGGAAATAGAACAATGGACCCATCACTTCTTCCTTGCAATTCACACGCACAAACGAACGACGAGAGAGAGGGCCAAGAATAAATACACACCGGAGATCCACCGTTCCGGGTAGTTTAAGGAGAGATAGGTCACCGTCCCATCGCCACTGGCCTGTACCTTAAGCACAGCATGTGAATAAACGTTAGTCAATGCCAAGTCTGTGGACGCATGGTCTGTAGCCCAATCAGGGTTGAACGTTTGTTGTATCTGGAAAGACGTGGAGAGATTGCGAATACGATTTTATATACTGTACCCATGTCATTAACCGCCAGCAAGCCACGCTATAACTCGCTCAGGCACACCCATACCTGCGTGTGTGAATCCTGTTGGCAGGTGTACTTGTTCTCATAGGCGACCCCGTCGACACACTTGTGTGTGCCATTCCGGAAAGTGTTATCCAGCTTGAATTTGGTGTATAAACAACTGTTGATCGCCGCCGTCTTGACCCTGAAGGCATATCCAGCCTCGGTGGGTAGGTTGATACCGTAAACGTTCACCAGCCTAGCTACAGGCGGTGGGTCTGACCAGTTATGCAATAACGGATCATCACGGTAGTCTCTCTATGGGGAGTGATTGTGGATATGTAAATATGTCTTTTATATATATATATGTGTGTGTATGTGTATATATATATATATATATATATAATAATATATATGTGTGTATGTATG